GTCATCACGGTATTTCGCCAAAAGCAGGATATGGAAGAAAACAGGTCCCAGTTGATGATAGTCGCGGGACGGTGCTTCCTGAATTTGATGGCTCTTTCTCCATTCCTTGAGAAATAGAACTTGGTACGAAGGAGACGATGGTCCGATCCCGTGTAGAATTTCGGAACAACAGCGACGTCGGTCAGGTAATATCTTCTATTGACGATGATGTGATCAATCTCGTTATGGTACTCTCCACCGGGCGATTCCCAGGTCCAGCGTCGGGAAGGGGCTTTTGAAATTGCGAGTTTCCATGGATGGTCCTCGTCGTCATGATGAACTCGGATAGTCTCTCCCCTTGTTCATTCCTCTGTAGTCCATGGGTCCCGATGTGAAATTCCGCAGGCGACCTTCTTGCTCCGATCTTTGCGTTGAAGTCACCGACGATGATCTTGTAGAAGGTGTGCTCTTCTCTGTAGAACTTCTCCAAGTCAATGTAAAGGGCCTCGACTTCATCTTCGTCGTAGCTTGATGTTGGGGCGTATGCTATGAAGACCGTCAAGGCCGGGATTGATCGACATCGTGATATTCGTAAACGTCCGATCCGGGTTGTGAGTTCTTCGAATGAATCAATGCTCACGGCCAAACTCGTATTGACAAGGATTCCTACACCGCCGACTCCCTTGCTCTCGCTTGTTCCTAAGAACGTTCTTCTCCAGTATCAAACTTGGCGTCAGCGGGTGTTGTCTCCTTGTCTCGGTCAATCCGATGGCGTCGTACTTGATCTTCTTTGCTTGCATCAAGAGATCCTCGATGGATGCGTCCGATGCGAGCGTCCGTGCGTTGTAAGTACAGATCGTCATCATTGTCAGTCTCGTTCTCGGCAGCCTAGGTCGCCCTTCAAACCTTGTCCCCACCGGCGCTGCCTTACCAGTGGCTCTTCCAAGACTAAGGGAGCTTTCCATTATATCACTGTGTTTGACGATTGAAGAATCGCAGGAGCAGCTTGTTGGGCTCAAATCTCCCGCGAGGGACGGTTGGAGCTTATTTGTCGGAGGAGACTCCGAGCCCTCCTCTCCCACACCTACTCAGGAAATAGGTATGCAAGCTTTTAATGGAGGCAGGGAGTTCGTTCCCTGGCTCCGCTTGCTAATCAGAGCAGGCGCGGGGTCGCTTTTGGTGGCGATTAGCCCCCTATCCGCCACCTGGGGAAGCCCCACGTAGCCTCGCGACTAACCGGCTGGGATCCCTCTGAGAGGGAGATCCGTGGAGGCGTAACGATATAGCACCAAATTACGTGAGCGAACGAAGAAACTCTAGTAGAAACAAAGTATGAAATATTATGAAAAGCTTATGTGAGAAACTCCTCCTTTTGTCTTTCTTAGAGCCCAAAATCGCATCAGCGCCTAGCTTTTTAACACGTTTCGGACCGCGAAATCGCGCGCGGCGAAAAAGAGTGTACCTTCAGCCGTTAGCCTACAAAGGGACCTTATTTCGCAGCCTATGGGCCACATTTGTAATCAGCATGTCAGATAAGCTCCATATCCAAAGTTCTGAGTGAAATCGAAGTGTTTGAATTTTGTCGCTTGAGAGGGATTTTTGTGCCTTCTTGAAAGATAGGAACAAGAACTCAGATTCTAATAGTATTCAAAAGTATCTATGTTGGACACGGTACACATCAGTATCAAAACTACGGTTTTTCTCCTTGATATCAAAGCAAAGGAAAGTTGCGACGTCGCACGCGTCGTTCGCGTCGCCGCACTTCGTTGCAACTGTTGTTCGATTTGTGCTCATATCTCCTAAACAAATATCGGCGGCACAATTATACAGAGTCATTTGAAAAGTAGGAGATTAGACCTTTAACTCAACAACTTCAGACTAAAAGGAAATTTTCTGCAAACGCCAGAAAGATCCCTCAAAGCAGCGTGCTGCACCATGTGCAGCACCGGTCCGAAACGTGTTAAGAAGGAAAGCGCGTCCCAGTCAATCAATACGCGCGGGAACGGCATCTCTCAGTCCTATGATTGCGTTACTTTGATATTTCTTCATTCCTTCATCATTTTTCTTGCTTATTCTTCTCCCTATTTTCTATCTTGGTACAGGTGAGGGGTATTCAGAAGAATGTGAGCATTTTGGGGCGCTTTTGACCGCTTTTAGGCGAAGTGTGGCTGGTGCTCTCGTTGCACAAGCACAAATCATCGTTTTTGGGCTCAAGGGGGTATCCGTAAATATTGGGATCAAAGGGAAATTCATTTTGGAAACCCCCTTTGCCCACCACGTGCCGGGCCCTGACCGGGTGTCGAACTGCGATGCACAGCCGAGTGTATACCTTTGGCAGGGCCTCCCAAGCTGTAAAGGAGTTCGACGTTTCCGGTCTCGGCCAGATGCCTAGCTAAGAACCGGCCACACCAGATCCCCCGCCGCCTGGCTTCTTCCGGTCGCTAGGCGGTCCCTCTCCGCTCCACATCCGAGGTCAGCGATCGCCTCGTGGAAATCAAGAGTTGGCCTAGTAAGTCTGCTCATATAGGGGAAACATTTTTATTACTCGATCAGCAAAAACAAGAGATATAAAGCCTGCACATCGGATCCCGCCTACGGCGCCGGGTGGTAGCAAGAACGATGTCAGGGTACTCAGGGCGCCTTTTGGATTGGACAAAAACGACACGTCTGCCCGAACGACACGTCATGGAGACTGCCTCATGCTCTGCATCTACAACGCCAGGACAATCTCCACAAACGCCGACCTCCACGCTCTTCTTGACGCTGCAGAGCACATCAAGTACCACATCATCGCTCTGCAGGAAACGAAGTCGAGGAAGAAGGGGGTGCGACAGATGGAAGATGGGACCCTCATCATTCGTGGTGAAAAGTTTCCATCACGAAAGGTTAGAGGCGTTGGCTTTGTCATCCACCCATCTATCGTCTATCTTGTCGATTCGCATGAGATCCCGTTACCTCGCCTGGCCATCCGACTACGACCTCCACGTCAGACCATCAGCATCATTAACTGCCACTCAACAACATCAGCAGTTGACGACTCAGAATTAGATGCTTTCTACGAAGACGTGGAGCAGGTCGTCCACAACGAGAATTTTTTCTACAAGTTCGTTGTGGGCGACTTCAGCGCGAAGATCGGGATGCCACTGGATGAGGGATATAGGATCGCGAAGTTTGGATATAGGCTCCGGAACAAAAACGGCAACCGTTTCGTTGGGCTTCTCTCCGCCGCACGACTTTTCCATAATAATTCCATCTTTATGAAGAAAGAACATCGCCGGTGGACATTGGAATCGCCCAACGGAACGACTCCGCGGAGATCGACCACATTCTCAACAACCGAAGGTGGAGCCTGCTCGATGTTGCAGTAGTTCCATCCTTCTGCAGTGGCTCCGATCACCGCCTCCTTCGAGCGAAGATACGATTCAGTCGAAGGCTGAAAAAAAGTCTGTCACAGTGCCGCGAGAAGGGAGAAGGGTAACAGGCTGGAAGAGCTCATATCAAGTTGTGACTGGCCTAACGAGGAGGACCCAACGTACGATTACGACCGGCTTGTGAAGGAATTGTGAACCTGTGGAGAGTGCGTTTCAGTGGCTTCTGAGAAGAACTTGGAACGCATTTCGAAGACCACCAAGGAATTGCTCGAAAGAAGAAGATTTCTGAGGCAGAATCCGAATGCAACCCATCTCGAGCGACTGATAGCCGACGCCAGTTGCAGAACAGCTTTGCAGGAGGATTTTAGGAAGTACAGGCAGGGCAAGCCAAGATACTGGGAGCAGCCGAAAAGACAAAGTCTTAGGAAGTGCCGGATGGATTTCCGTGAATGTTGCGTACCGCTGGCTGCACTATTAAACGAAGTTGGGACTCCGACTTCTTCCCGATAGAAGATGGAATCGATTGCGAAGAACCTTTACACAAACCTCTTTTGCTCATCAACACCCGTGCCGATGCCCGTGGTTCTCATTGGAGAAATACCACCACGAATTCTACCTGCTGAAGTGCGCACGGCGATTCAAACCATGAAGACACCCACGGCTCCAGGACGAGACCATTGTCCCTTCGAATTTCCACGAGCCGGAGGACAACGTCTAAACGAGATCCTCGCGTCGCACCTGACATCTTACCTTCAGAAGGAGAGGATTCCCGACCAGGAACGTCAAGAACCGTCCTTTTCTTCAAGGAGGGCGAACGGGAGGATCTTCGGAACTACCGTCCAATATGCCTGCTGAGTGTGCTGTACAAGCTTTTCACAAAGATTACCCGCTCGCATATCTAGGACACTGATGAAGCCCAATCCCAAGAACAAGCTGGATTTCGCAAAGGATTCAGCTGCATTTAGACGGTTTCGAGGATCATAGAAGTCTGTCGGGAGTACCGTAGCTCTCGTCCTAACCTCGACAAGCCTTTGAAAGCGTCGAAACCAACGCCGTCCTGTCTGCTCTATAAAAAATGCAATAGCTCACTCTGCTGTCGAAATATTGTTCACATTTGTACAACTGTGTGTTTACTAGCCTACTATCAGTCATCAGAACGGGCCTTGCTTTGTTTGCTTATTCAAGAAAAATCAAAATTTTGAAAAAGCATACTTGAGTTGTCCAAATTTGTATGCTCACCTGTGGTTTCTATTCATTTCAAAGCGCTTCCTAGCTACCCACAATTTTTTGTATATACGCAATCAGAGCAAACAAACAGTATTCAAACTCTTGCTTTAGTGTGAGCTGTGTCGTGGCAGTTTTACATAAACTTCTCGTGAGATAGCATTTGGGTAGTAAACTATTAAACTCAACAGTCTCTGGGCCACACACACCTTGTTGCAACCTAAGCCAAACTTGTACCTCTAAATCTTTCTGCATGCCCTCAGAAGCCCTAAGCAAAATAAAGGCATTGTGCGTATTCCTCGGTTACAGTTTTTAGGCATCTTAGCATGTATTCTTTGTTTCACTGAGTTGGCGGCTGGAGGGCGGGGCTTCGATCGATTAGAGAGCACGTAGGCACGCTCTGCATTTCCCTCACGAACGTGCTCTCTAATCCACCAAAGCATCGCCCTCCAACCGCCAACTCTAGTGAAACAGAGGCTGGGTATAAATGCGAGAATTATACCTCAGAAGGTGATTGCTACAAGCTTTGAAGATAGTTCTGGCTCTGACCAAAACCATCAGGAGAATCATCTATTGTCTTACAAAACAAGCTGTTTCACTATATAGTGGATAATTACTGCCAAAAATCCAAGCGTGTAACACTTGGCAAGCTATTTTGAAAGTGTGTAACGCCATTAGGCTGCACGACTCACGTTTCGAAAACGAAGCCAAGGGCGATTTCGTGAACTTTTGTGAGTATGGCTTACAGATTTCTTCCTGTGTAAAGAATGTCTGTGTTTTATTTTGAGTTTGCAATGATAGTGCAGTTAAGATTTTAGCGCAAAGATTCGAGCTTACACAAATGCTCACGTTAAAAAGCATCTAGGTAGACAGAACCACATCGCTTCCGAACCAGCCAAAAAACTGCAGAATTTCCTACTCAAACGCAGGTTTCTTTAGCGGAATGCATGTGAAAGCATCTTTGAGCCAAAAAAGCAGATATGGTTCTCTCGAAGTTACGACACAGCTTGACTGAAGCAAATGTTTGACACTTTCATTATATGTCTACCTAAGAAATTCGAAAGCTAGGAAGTGCACTGATCAATAAAAATCTGGGGGAGTATAATTTTGTGCAACTTCACCCCTATTTTCAGAATTGACTCTTTCTTGAAAAGCCAAACAAAAACGAGGCCCTTGATGCTGATAGTAGGCTTGTAAACAACACAGCCATACCAAATTTTGGAGCAGTTCCTTGACAACCGAGTGAGTTACGGCATTTTTCAAGGTGGACTTATAACTTTGGTCAGGACTGCATATTTCTGATCCTTTTCTTGTAAGTTTCTAGGTAAGTAAAGTTGGCTAGAATAGGATGTCACTGTCAACAGGGAATAGTGGAAAAAAGGATCTACCATCCTATATTCAAGCTCGCGGAACAATCATAAAGTTATTTCGTGAATTAGTGGAAGCGGAGAATTAAATAAGCTTAATAACTGAGGATATGGCTGAGATGATCAGGAATGTCCCCATTGCAAAGACCATTAACAGCATTGATATACCTATATATTTATTATTACTCTAAAGCATAAAATTATGAGGTCAGTCTCGATTGATTAGTTGCAATGCTGGATCAGGTGGCGAACTGGCTAGTTGACGACAACTATCAGGTAACTCCTCAAAACGCCCTGCTACTGCGTGCCAATCCGATATGTCAGTTGCGTGCCATTGAATGAAGGATCGCACCAAATCCACAGTTTTGTGGCTCATGTCAGGTGCACATACCTAAAAAGCCAATTGTAAGAAAAAATGATTAGCATTGTGCGCATACATACCTCATCAACAATGGGGATCATGCATTGAAGGTAGCAGGTCTGAAAGGAACACAGCATTCCAAGCTCTTTCTCATAGCGCGATAAATCGGGTGAAGAAAAAACCTGTAGAAATCAATTATTCCATGGTACTAATGTACCATACTGTACAAATATGTCATAAGTGTGCCTACCATGATCTAGTATCTGAGAGTTTTATTGACAAACAAACATGTTATAGATTGATTCCATGAAGGTGACACATTATTTCATTTAGAGAAAATATCAGCATATTCTCACCTGATTCATCCCGTATTCTTTTTGCTCGTTGCTGGATCGTGCTACCTCGTCGTGGCATTGATGGTCGCACTAAAGGTACGTTTTATATGACTAAAGCAGTGGCGGTCCCAGGATTATTGTTCGGGGGGAGGGGGGGGGGCAAGATTTTCTTTCAACAAAGGTGCGTCGTGTTAGTTACGCTTTCCGAAAAACTTTCTGGGATACTTCCCAAACCTTTTTGTGGGCCCATAATTCTGGAACTTTAGCCCCGAAAAAATTTTTTTACAAGTTTAGAAGTATGAACAAGTCACATACCTAGCTATGTTTTTTGGCTAGAAATCGATAAAAGAAACTTTCGTGTTTTTGTCAAATCGAAGCTGAGCTGTTATTACACCAGCAGTAGCATGCTACAAGCCTTTAGAAATACAACCGTTTATTTTTAGCTTTCTGCAAGAGCTAGTTTACGAGGAATATTGAGTCTAGCTTGCACCCTTGAAACTGATTCAACAAAAACAGAAAACTCTCATCTTTTTCGATATCTAACCGATAAAAAAATACGGCAACTGCATTTATAAACGTTTAATATGGAATGTGTACGCAAAAAATGAAGCTTTTTGTAGGATTTTTTTAGACGCAGTTGTTTCTCGATCTTCCTTAGTTTTCAGTCACTGATTTTCCTTGATTTTGTATTGTAGGTGTAGACCTTTGAACACTGCATTTCACAGCTAGTTTTGTTGTATCGTATGATGTATAAGAACTGAGGGTATAAAAGAAGTATGAATTAATGCGTTTGTAACTATTGTGCGAGATTAATGTAGAACCCTCATGATTAGCAGCGCTGAGTATTCTATGGGCTACCGTAAACATACAACTACCTACCAACTACCTTATTCACATGCAAAATATTGAGATAAGTGAACAGATTTGGAAATCTATGGCGGTTGAGGCAGATCTGTTAGTTTTGCTATATAGTCTGAGCAATTTTTAAAGCTACAAAATGTAGTCCCAAGGCAGCTTATGGTGGGTTTGTCTCCATAATTAAATGTAGAAACAATTGAGTTTAAGAAAAATTTTGTCTACCTACATTCTGCGCATTATGAGCATTGTTCATATTTCATGTTCTTAATTGCTTACCTTCAAAAATGTTATGGGCTCAGCATCGGCCAAACATTGTCGCACATTGGTGAAATGTGTCCTTTTGAAGGAACAAATAAAATTTGACGGCGAGAATACCGTATCAGCAGACTAAAATAATAGAATCGATATTAAATCACGAGTAAGATCCAGATGTTAAGTGCTTTTCAGCCAGATACTCCTGAAGGTTCATGTGCATTCACCTTTTGATAGAATTAAACTCAAAAAATTCTTGAACATAATGCGACAGTAACTTACCGTGTCCTTACATTGCTCCACGTAACATCTGGTACGCTGCTCGGCAAGTTTACAATAGAGCAGAAATGTAGTATAGTCTAATACTAAAGGATGAAATGGAAAGTCGTAGAAAATTGATGCGGACATGTTGAAGCTGTACTCGAAATCGTGTTGGTATTTTGAGTTACATCGCTAAAAATAAATGAGTAAATTACATCTGCTGTAAAAATCGCACTAAAGAAAGTCATGTTACGAGGGGACAATTTATTTACAAAAGAGTCGCACGCAGAGATGGGCGCATTGCGGACTGTTGGCGGTTCTCTGATTGGGAGCTCTTTCATTCCTCTTACAGTCTACTGTCTCTTTCAGGGACGAACTGTCTTGCTAGGGGCAACACGTCTGATCTCTGCGTGCGATGACTCGCCCCTTTGTATGAGATTACCGCTAATGTGTCATACTCAACTTGGAATTAATTTGAAATTAGTTTCTAGCATTGAAGGTGAGTTTTGAAAGTGTATTGGTTAAATTCAATGGCCAAAACCATCTCCGCAATTTTTTTGTTTCCCTCGCCGCTTCCCCTTTTTTCAAATCTCCAAGGTAACTGCAGGCGGTGTAGGGGCCACACTCAGGATCATCAATAAAGCTTTCATGCCACGCTTCCCTGCCTCCATCCCCTCCTCGCCTGTAGAATTCCTTCTATGGGATGTATTAAGAGGTTGATAAGCGATGATTTGGCTATGCCTATTTTCAGGGTACAACTTATCACCACTTGAACTAACCTCGAAGCAATCAGCATCTGTGCCATTTACATCCGATACATACATAAAATCACGTTTTAATCGGTATGCCGTGGAAAAAGCTACAGTACCTAGGACCAAAATGGCTGTCAACCGGATAATCATCTGAAACAAACATTTAAACACATCTCTAGAGTTGAGCCGAATAGCAAAAATGATAGCAAGTGAGACAGAAAGTCGACAGAAAACAGAACAGGACATTGACGAAGCAACAATTTCATGGGAAAAAGTGAGATTAGCTTTATTCACACACGTTTAAGAGCATTGCTCGCGCACTTATATTTCTGCAAAAAGTTTGAAATTTTCGCTAAATCTCAAGGATTGCATTTAAGCATAAAATGAAGTACGGCATAAAACATATTCTACTTGTTTCAGTTTACATGGTCGTTAGCTGCGTGTATGACGCGACTCCAAAAAAATTTTAGGGGGCTTCTCAAAATTTTTGCGGGCCCCCAACCCCTAAAATCTGGAAGAAAGGGGCGTGGCGTCAGCTACGCCCCCGAACAAAATTTTTTACAAGGCTAATTTGAATTTTAAAAATTTTTAAAAATTATTATAATTATTTACAAGTTCAGACAAGTCATTTGCACAATTTTATAACCCATTTAAGTAACTTTCAAAAATTTCGCGACCCGTTCTCGGGGGGGGGGGGCGCCCCCCCCCGCCCCTCCCCCCTGCCCCCCCCCCCCTCGGTACGCCACTGATATATATACAGGGCTCCTAAATTGCAGAGTCGTTTGCACCAGCGGTCGCGCGACCGCTGGTGCAAACGACTCTGCAATTTAGGAGCCCTGTATATATATTATATAGACCCGAGAATTCCTCTAAAGTAATGATATGTTGACGCAGTGATTGCTGTTTTTAAAGCAATTTTATCTCCTTTTGTAATACTAGTTGTCACCAGTTCTCGCTTCGTCCATTGTGTAGAGTTTTTTCAACATAAATGTTTGTCGCTTAAGTGGCTCCTGAAGTGATTCGACAAAGAAGTCTTGTTGATTATTCGTGCGGTGTGTCCATTAATAACATGAGTGGCTCTGTTGTTATTTGGTTAAAAAAGTGGGGGCTTGCCTATTTACCTAGAGAAAGCCAAGGTGCCGCACTTAAAATCGAATAACGTTGATTACGATTCATACAGTGGTAATAAGATTGAATTTATTGATCAAGTAATTGACCTTGGTCTTTTGGTGAACAACGCTTAATTCTGGCAAGCGCTGTGAGTTAGCATAGAAACCCACTGAGCATAAATTCTTCAGAGCACTTAAGACAAACAATGTGAAATCCTACTTTAAGCTTGCAAGGTATGTTAGAGTCTTGATCGAGTATGGCACCGTGGTTTTCAATTTCTGCACAAATAAAACTGTGAACTTGTTGGAAAAAGCGCAAAACAGCTTCTTTAAGAAAGTGATAATATGATACGAAGTAATGGATAGCAGTTGTAGCGGTTGCCGGAATTTGAATAACGAATTAAAAAGTTGAAGTTGGAAGACTTAGCTACTAGGAGAAGGGCGTTTGATCTCATCATGTCCCACCTACTTTCTTCGTCTGATTGCTCATGACTTGATACTGTTCTCTTTGTTTATGTCGACAGTAGTTTTTTTTTTGTGAGCCTTTTGGCATGTTCTAATCGTTTGGGTCTGTAATTATCTCTACGAATTCCTATGTAATAAACAATAATTCCTATGTATTCAATAAACAATAGTGTTAATAAGAAAGATATACCGCCTAAAAATAGCGATGGTATCAAATTTGCTCAAATATTTACATCATTAGCAAAAAAGCAAGCGACATACGCGCTTGTATGGCTTCGGAATTTCTAGTTTACACTTTAATTGCACCAGATTTATCATAAGAAGTGGCAGACCATGATACAAAGAGCCGTATATGATCAAAGTTCGAAAGACTGGTGTCAGAGATCCTGGCTGCATCATAAGGTCCTGATTCATCCAACATTGGAGGTACGGCCAGATTTTCTTTAGAGATTAGAATATGTTTTCTTATTTTGTTGCATTAAATTAGATCAAATTGGATCTTACAGGAAATGAGAAATAGTGGGGACTATTTCGTCCTATACTCGATTATCTTATACTGGTCGTACTATACAAAAATTGTACAAACACTCTACAGATACAACGAAATGAAATTATAAAGGGAGGAGTTTTCAGCGAAGGCATACCAGGATTTATAGAGTTAGCAGAGAATGCAAAATTTCCTTTGGTACGACGCTAACATCCTTACCTAAGACTCTACAGAGAAATGTATTGGTCGTAAATATGATAGATAATGAGGAATGAAGTCCGATAAAGGCTATGTCTGATGCCGGAGGTGGAAGAATGTGGAAGCGCGTGTGAGTGGATCGAATTGGCGACAGACTTTCTGACGTCACAACACCACTTTCGGCTTCGAATAATGATCAAGAATAGATAAAACATAATGGCTGGCTTCTCAGCATGCACAGATCTGAGGATGGAATTTTCTCAGGTAGGAATAAAATTGCAGCGACAGTGACCGACTAAGCATGCCGCTGCCTTCCCTTTATGTCCCTCTTCCCCTTTGAAAAAGCGAGAAAAATAAAAGAAGCAAAAATAGTGGGAATATGCGAAGTATCTCTCTATCATCGATATAAATCAGTTGTCTCGTCGTTGCGGAACGGATTTGGGTCATAAGGAACCGCTCGTGACGTAGGGGATGCATCACGAACATGCGTAATGCGTGATTCTTTTGCGCTCAAGTGCAACTTAATGTAACATTTGTCGCAATAGATGAATGCTTCCGAATGAGTGATCAGTGGAAAACTAATCTGCACAATACGAGCTTTCGGGACGCTATCGTGGTTTCAGCCTGATGTAGTATATCAGGATCCGCTGAGATCTGAATGGGGTGAATAGCTGGCCGCAGACTGTCCATTAGTAGTTTACTGTCACTTGCTAGCTTCTTGTATGGTAGCGTAGTTATACTGTAGGTCTTCAAACTTTGTAAATTATAGTTATTAAGCCGATGCAAAAATAATGGCCGTTTTGCGAATTCTCACTTTGACGTGCGATTCTGAAGGCGTAAAAGCCATCAGAAGCAGCAAACCTTTTGCAGTGCAGCGCACATTTATTTGTACTCACATCACAAACGGGCAGAAAAATATGGATTGAAAAACAGAAAAGGTCTATCTTTAAAACTTTATTTTTGACAATTCATAACTTTCTTGAGAATTTGTTAGTACAAATGATAAGTGGCCTATCTTGTAGCCGCAAGCCAATGGTAGAAAACATGATAAAAAGGGTTTGGAGAAATAACTTTGCGAGAAGAAAAAAGTTGAAATTTAAAATTTTTAGTTTTTTTTTCAACATTTCTTCAGTGTGCCTCAAAATCCCGAATATGGATTTTTCTAACTTTCTGCGTACTGAACAGCTGAATATTTTTGCAAAAACAGCTATTAGGATGCACTAGCATTACGCTTACAGAATTGAGAAGCTTTGGCGATTGATCTTTTCAAAAGAAACTTATGAGTCATGTAATGATCGCAACAGCTACCCATATTGAGGCGCCGACATCTCAGTCTGGATAACCTCAAAATAACAGTGAATATGCATAATGTAGACAATTTCTATCTTATATATAAAGCTGAATGTCTGTTTGTCTGTATGTCTGTATGTCTGTACGTATGTTCCGAATAGAAAATTCCATTTCTGAACCGATCCGGACCAAACTTGGCACACATACACTACGGGCCCCGGCGGGTGTCATAGGCTACTTTTCGTCATCGATCGATATCGATTTTATCGATTTTTTTGCTGAGTTCACCTACGGGGCTAGGAGTTGGCACAGGGGGGTAATCGAGCATGGGGATTCCGAATACAATATTGGTTTTCAGGATTATCGATTACTTTTATCGATTTTATCGATTTTTTTGCAAAGTTTGAGCTACGGGGCTGGGAGTTCGCACAGGGGGGTAATCGAGCATGGGCATTCCGAATACAATATTGGTTTTCGGGATTATCGATTACTTTTATCGATTTTATCGATTTTTTTGCAAAGTTTGAGCTAGGGGGCTGGGAGTTGGCACAGGAGGGTAATCGAGCATGCTGATCATCCCCAAGGGGGTGATCAGCATGCTCGATTACACCCCCGTGCCAAATTCCAGCCCCCTAGCTCAAATTTTCAAAAAATCGATAAAATCGATAAAAGTAATGGACGATCTTGAAAACTAATATTGTATTCGTAATCTGCATGCTCGATTACCCCCCTGTGCAAACTTCCAGCCCCGCAGGTCAAACTTTACAAAAAAAATCGATAAAATCAATAAAAGTAATCGATAATTCTGAAAACTAATATTGTCCCCATGCTCACTTCCCCCCCCCTGTGCCAACTCCTAGCCCTGTAGGTGAACTCTGCAAAAAAATCGATAAAAATCGGTAAAATCGACATCGATCGATAACGAAAAGTGGACAGTGACACCCGCTGGGGCCCGAAATGTATGTGTGCCAAGTTTGGTCCGGATACGGCGGAGCCGGGTAAGCCAGCTAGTTACATATAATACCTAAATTTTTGAAGGAGCGCCTTTCATACGCGCTCGAATTCTTGCCAGAAAAGATGCAACAAAATTGGGAATTTGGATGCGGTCACTTGAAGCTCAGTAACTTTATAACAGATGAGGTTAAAAGCCCTACTCAACCACCATTAGGTAGAGCATGGAAACAGCTTTATGGTATGCTAAAAGTATTTCAAGGAAGGTATTTCGATGGGGAAAAGTTGCCCTGAAAAAGGCTTGGAAAATCGGCCACTGTTTTTGCATCAACCCATATTTTTAAGATTCTTAGAAATTCAAACTGAACCTGTAAAAAAATTTTCGGGGGCGTGGCTATTACCACGCCCTCTTTTTCTAGATTTTAGGGACTATGTACCCTCAAAAATTTTGATGCCCGAGGTGAGATAACAATACTTAGTAATCTATTGCTTTATTTATGTTGTCCCAAAGCACAGAAAAAGCCACGGATGCTGATCTTTTGCTTACATTGTATCGATGGGCGCATTACCAAGATCCTTCTCCTCTACCTGGTCGCAGCACGAAGGCGATGTTCCGGCAAAATCCTCTTTAGTTTTTCACCGTTTCGAAGGCTTCCGGCCTTGCTGATTTTAAATCATCTGGGCTTTGTAGTGCATGAAAATGGCGAAAATTAGCTTTCCAAGCACTTCATATCAACATTCGCTCGGAATTATGTGTAAATGGAGGGGGTCCGCAAGGGGCGAGCTCCGGAAGACTTTCGGAATGGATTGTAGGCTTTCCAGAGTTTGCGTCTTTTTACTTCAGACTTCTACGATAGATTAGTTGGAGGGGGGTATGCCATTGCAATCTTTTAAAAAGCTGAATGTCTGTTTGCATGTCTGTCTGTGTGTACGTATCCGAATAGAAAATTCCATTTCTGAACCGATCTGGACCAAACTTGACATACATACACTTCGGGCCCCGGCGGGTGTCATAGGCTACTTTTCGTCATCGATCGATATCGATTTCATCAATTTTATCAATTTTTTTGTAAGTTTGACTTGCGGGGATGGAAGTTTGCACAGGAGGACATCGAGCATGCTGATTATGAATACAATATTAGTTTTCAGAATTATCGATTACTTTTATCGATTTTAGCGATTTTTTTTTAAAGTTTGAGCTACGGGGTTGGGGGATTGGTGAGGAAGGTAGGTGAGCATACTGATCAACAAAACAAATCATACTGATTAACTAACACAGCGGGAGTAGGGAATTACACGTAGAAAGTGGGCACAGGTAAGGGTGTACAGGGATATAAATGGAACCTTCATCGTTTTTGACAAGGCCGGGCGGAGCCGGATAAGCCAGCTAGTGCTGTATAATCTCAGTACCCATGACTTCGCCGGAACGCAGCTCAAGAACCTTGGTTATGATGATCCGAGAAAGGGTGAAGCTATTTTAACATAACAGACCCATATCAGATTAGCACAAAAGTTATGTTCTTGAATATTGGATAATCGTAGCTTTTCCTATCATGTTGATTGCCTGGCATCAAACTTTGAAAGGAGAATATATACAATTTATGAAGTTCCCAGCGGTGATTACATACTAGGCACAATTACAGAAACGAATGCGACAGAGTAAAATCATTCAGTTTCGTTATTGAAAAAGTTAGGTGAAAATATCAAAGAGATCCTACCTACAGCACTATTTTATGGCCTATGACTATCTTTCTTGCGCAAATTTGATTCTATAAAAGTCAAGACTTTTGAGAAAGCAAGGAAAAGCAAAAAAAACTAAAGAAAACTTTCTACCATTTTTTCATAAAATCTTATTCAAAAAGTAGAGTACAAAAATTGTTTCAATTAGTTTTTCACCATTGTTTATTTAATTGATCCCTTATTGATGGGATGCAAGAAGACCGTAGAATTAATTACAAGTTTCCCAATTTTTGACTAGCTTGGCAACCTAACCAAACTCGAGTGATCTTATTTTTTTGCTTCTAAGTCCGCAATTTTCACTTGCTTCAAAAAAACCATCAAAAGAACCCTTAGTTTACTTGGAATTCTCCATAGAAAATTGATGATTATGCCACATGCACTGATAAGGATTCTTTACAACCATAAGTAGAGAAACGAAACTTTTGCTCTAACCTGAAACTTTCTGAGAAAACTCATGATAAAATTTTTACGGGGTGAAAACATCAATACAAGAGCACCGACTTGCAGATACACTATTTGGATAGAACTGTGTGTTCTCCACATAGAGCATGTTGATTTTTTGGTGCAAGCTGGGCTGCAATGAGGGAGCAGATCCGGTCCCACCTCCCCAAAACCCTTCGATCTGGCCGATGTGGTTCAGAAAAAGGGAGATACTATCTATGAACTTTCAAAACAGCGTTGAAACCAAAAGTCGTGATTAACAACCGCTCTGATTTTGCACCATTCTGTGCAAAAAAAAGAACTGCGAAAAACTTGTGATTTTTAACATAACTGCTTTTATAGACAATTTTTTTGTTTCTGATCGTTGAAGTTTGTGAGAATTACGGCATTTCACATCTGCTCAGCATTTCACATCTGCTTCCTGCTTATTCACAAGATAGCATTAGTTTGTGCATCAACGAAACTTTGAGTTTTTTATATACAGTAAGATTTAAGCAACAAGATGAGAGTGCTGCCATACAAGGAAAATGTTGGATCTCAAAATTCACTTCTGGATTTTCCGCACTTGTCACAGTGTTCCTGCAATATATTGTGTATTTTTCGTTCATTTGTAAGTAATCCCAAAAGCGTATTAAATAAATAAATAAATAGTATTAGAAGTTTGCTAGATTTTGTCCCATAAGTGTGTAACAACGCTGAAAGTCAGGACCATAATCGGCTTTTCTCATGTGCAGCAAAGAACCTTACGGACAGGATGCAGTCCGGATTTTGACAATCTGGCTAAAATTTTCGCTATACAATACCTCATCCCTATGTGAGTGATTCATATGAGGGGACAAAACATAAATGGAAGCGAAAGAAATTACCCTAAATGCAGGTAGCCTGTAACCGCGAGAACACCGATGGAGGGTTTGATGTGATGATGAGCTCTAGGTAGATATCTGACACAAAGCATGCATCTGAACACCTTAGAGCCTGTATCAAATGTCGCGCAGGCGGAGCCCATCGAGACACAACTCGGAAAAGGTCGCGCATCTAGGCTGTTCCAAAAAAATCTGTCCCATTTTAGTTTCCTTGTGTTCAAACAGCTATTTTCAAGAGTATGCATTTGTTACAGTACAGTGGACATCATTCAGAGAATCTCTTTTTGCTTCAGGCCCCAACAAATCGCTAGAATGCGGTCATGCTCAAGGAATGTTCTATGAAAAGAATCTCTGCAGTGTCCCAAAAATTCCTTACGTAAATTTTCATAGTGGGTAGCTTTGTAATGGGCCAATATATGCACACTTTTACTCCGACATAGAGATTGACTTACTCTCCAAGATTGTCTTCAAAAATTGAAGATCCTGCTAGCAACGACAACAATATAACATAAGAACAAGTGGTGTGTTCAAGATTCTAGGTGTAAGAGTAAAGCAAGAGCAAGCAGCGGCCATCACCCAGTTAGATTTTTCGTCCGGAACTATAAAAATCAATTTTCAAAAGGTCCATACATTCATGAGCGCGGACGAGGACATGAGCTTTCTCGATTCACTTGCAACGATTTTTTAGCCAAAGTTGCATAAGTTCCCTTAGCTCAAATAAATTTTCAATTGATTGTGATATAATTATTGGAATATAGGCTACTTTTGGGTGGCTACCAAGTTGTCGTCTGCCTATACTTATGGGGCATTTCTGTTTTAGTGGCCGTATTCATCAAGGAACCCAGTGGTTTCCAGAACCCATTGGATAGGCTTAACCCACAAGATCGGTAGTCACGAAGCTAGTGGGTTCGCGAACCCAGAATGCTTTTTGTGAATATCGATCCAACCCAGTGACACTATTTTCGCTTACCCACTGGGTTTGTTGATGAATACGGCCATAGATTGGACGGTCTTGAAACAAAATCTTGAATTCCGAATCTTCGGATCTTTGCTGGGCATGAAATGGGAGTATGGGAGTATTTCATACTCCAAGATATCACCTGAACATATGTCAAAACTATTTTGTGATGTTTGGTAGGCTATAATAGGTCAAAGCCACACTATTGTCCACATATAACTTCTGAAGCGCCTAAAAAGCAACTAGCGATGGGAAGTGAACATGCAAACATATAACGCCACCTAAACATTTTTTTATGTGCAACCTACGGATCTTTTTCACTCTCATGGTGACCGTAAAATAGCAAATTTACCTCTACTTTGATTTCATATGCATATTACACAGTACGCCCGCTACCTCACGACTCATAAGACGAAAACGTCAACACTCAGGATTTTTCCTTGTTTTCTTCTCTATCCTAATGTGATCGGATAGGTATTAGGTAGTAGTACACATTCTCACAGTCCTTCCTTTAGATAAGACGATTGACAAGTTGCTAGTAAGGATGTCGTCGGTTGTGTCCAAGCTCATTGTCAGCTTAAGTTACAAAATGTCTTGCGCATACTCTCCTTTACACTGATTAAAAATGAACAGATCTTCATTCATAACTTGTGAACTGAGATAACATTACAAAATTACGGATATTTCGAGACTTTTCAACAGTTGACCAAGTCTGCTACTCATCGGGAAGCTCAAGGAAACGAATAACAACAAGCGTTGTGATTAGGAAATAAAACAAAAGTCATCGTAGACAAAAAGAACTGTTTGCAAAGAAAAAATACGCAGTGTCTATAGCTGTCATAGAAATGAGATGCATTATGTAACGAGCATTCTTATTCTTCCTGATCCTGATAAGTCTCGTTCTCAACTGTTCCGTCGAGATCGCCTTCATCGTCAGCAGTGGCTTCTTGATATTGTTGGTATTCGGAGACCAAATCGTTCATGTTCGACTCAGCTTCGGTGAACTCCATCTCGTCCATACCCTCGCCAGTGTACCAATGCAAGAAGGCTTTTCGGCGGAACATAGCTGCAAATTCAAACCTTCTCAGTGACAGTGTAGAAGCTGGCGTCATGCCAAGAAAAAAAAATGAACTGACCGGTGAACTGCTCAGAGATGCGCTTGAATAGCTCCTGGATAGCTGTTGAGTTACCAACAAAAGTGGCAGCCATTTTTAGTCCACGTGGTGGGATATCGCACACAGCAGTCTTCACATTGTTAGGAATCCATTCGACAAAGTATGACGAATTCTTATTTTGTACTGACATCATCTGGTCGTCAACTTCCTAAATCTCATCGTGGTCAGCAATATGGTTTTTTGATGGTGATATGTGCAACTGCACAGCAACCCACACTTGACGAGAGGTAAAGTTTGATTAATTTAAGAAGTTGCCCGGGCAAATTTATACATGAACTTTTGGATACTGATTTGGAGACTTTTCAAATTCTCACCCAGACCGTACTCTCCAGCGAGCCAGTCAGTACTACGAGCACGCTTTGAGCGAGAGTTGGGTTATATGTCAAATTTTTGTCTAGGGCTTCTTCTATGGATGCTGATTTGCAGGCCATTGAGCTAAGCCACCGCATAAACGGCAACTCGTATGATTCATCCTTAGGCAAAAAATTAGACATCCAACTCTCGTTCATACCCTGCTTGTAGGCGCCGAATGGCTTGCTGGAGAGTACGGTTTGGGCGAGAACTGAAAGGAAGACCTGGGACAGTGGCTAATTCAACAGCCTTCAATTAGTTGCCACATAAGAAATTAAAATATTCAGAAATGCTCGAACTTTGCTTCTGAGGAATCTCTTCTATTGTCTAAGGAAAGATTCGGGAAAGATAAACGGCAAAAGTATTTTTTTTAATTTCGCGCACGACTAATGAGATTGTGCATCGATCTCATGAAGCGTTTTTGTACGAGTACACACACCGTCAACTTCTACGGATGAATGCAATAAACTGCGACTCACGCGCATGCTCATTCGTCCACGGAACATTGCGGCAACGGTGAGATATCGTCCATGACGAGGATCGCAAGCAGCCATCATGTTCTTCGCATCAAACATCTAGAAAATTAGAGTGATAACAAAAACATCTGGGGAATAAAAATTCTGGTTTACCTGCTGTGTCAGCTCAGCAACCGTTGAGGCACGATAGGCTTGCGAGCCCTTGGCCGACAATGGTGCGAATCCTGGCATGAAGAAATGCAGACGTGGGAATGGTACCATGTTGACAGCAAGTTTTCGTAGATCAGCATTCAGCTGGCCAGGGAATCGAAGACATGTTGTAACTCCAGACATCGTCACAGATACTGAAATTTCGCTATATATTTGACAAAGACAGAAATCAGTACTAGAAAAATAAAAAGTCATACATAGCGGCTTATTCCATACTCTCATAAACTATTTTAGAAACCCTACTATAAAAAAGCTATGCTGCATAGGAACGCAGTCTAGCCTCGTAACGAACAAGGGAGGCTGAACGTTTGAAAATAATTAAGAGTAATTAAATGCCAAGAGGAAAGCTGCAAAAGGACATGATTCCATCCTACATAATTGCAATCACAACTCACCCAAATGATTTAGATCTCCGTATGTTGGATTGGTCAATTTCAGAGTGCGGAAGCAAATATCGTACAGCGCTTCATTGTCAATGCAGAAAGTCTCATCAGTATTCTCGACAAGCTGGTGAACAGACAAGGTGGCATTGTAAGGCTCGACTACTGTGTCCGAGACCTGAAACATGCTTGGAACTCAAGATCACCAAGAGAGTAGGTGCTAATATTTCAAACAAAAATCCAATTCCTATAACAAAGTAGAATTAGAGAGAACTTTCTTTTAATACTCATTAAAATCGAAATTTAACGACTAAACAAACCTTGGGGGAAGGCACGACTGAGAATGACGCCATGATTCGATCGGGGTATTCCTCACGAATCTTGGCTATCAGAAGCGTACCCATGCCCGATCCAGTACCACCTCCAAGCGAATGGGTAAGTTGGAATCCCTACAAATATGTGTCAGTATACCCTATCAATCCTAGTGAGATGTCCCTACTTGTAGACAATCGCATCCTTCAGCTTCTTTGCGGACTACATCCAGAACACTGTCGACGAGTTCTGCTCCTTCAGTGTAGTGTCCCTTGGCCCAATTGTTTCCAGCACCAGACTGTCCGAATACGAAGTTATCTGGACGGAACAATGCTCCGAATGTTCCAGAGCGCACTGAATCCATGGTTCCTGGCTCAAGATCGACCAAAACAGCGCGAGGTACGTATTTTCCTCCTGTACAATATAAGTTAAGAGGTTTTTAAAAATCGGAAGCTACAAGAATACTCACCATGAGCCTCATTGTAGTACACGTTGATTCTCTCCAGCTGAAGATCACTTTCTCCTTTGTACGACCCATCGGGTTGGATACCGTGCTCATCGGAAATGACCTCCCAGAACTGAAATGCTAATGAGTCAGCAGTCCTGCTCAGAGCAACTAAGCAGCGTGTTCCTCTGTGGGCTACGAAGCTTCTGAAAAACAAGCGCTCAGACAAGTTTTTTTTTCCAAAATTTTCGACCCTTGGAAGCATAGTGTGCTTCAAAAAATTTTCCAGTGATATATTTTTCCACTCAAAATTCATAATTGTTCCATGCAGATAATGCAGAATTTGCGTGTGCTGTGGCGCCAAGCAAGTCTCGCTTCATAGGCTCGAATAAAAACACCCGAAATACTTTTTGTGATGAATGCTGGATACTGAAGGCATAATCTGCATACTTGGCACATTTATGCAAACCTAGTGACCCGCAAAGAATTGGCCTTAGGTAAAAAGTAAGAATTCGAAAAGCGGGTAATGAAGACAATAATAGACTAAGTTCTAGTAGCACACGGACGTAAGGCCCTACAAGAAAGTCTAGCGATACAGCGATATTTGCAAATCTACCTATAACGGATGATCGTAAAGGCATCGCACATTACACAAAGTTTAGTTTTTCAACTTCCTACGTTTAATCGTCTCTTTGCAAAAGATGGCCACTTTCTTCGTGAATGGCCACTTGCTTTATGTTAAAGTCAAAAGAACAGTTTACACCGCCCAGATGACACAAATCTACTTTCTTCTGAACCTCGCCATTTGCAGACTTTATTGCTTATCGCCTAGTAGGCGCTCGGTCTCCAGATTTGATAATGCCGTTTCCACGTTGTCAGAGCAATTAGCTAGGAAGTTACAACTAGCAGATTTTACGGAGAAAAAGACTGACTACCTGTATTCTGAGGTACTACAAGAACCAAAATTTTTAATTGCACCCACTGTCCTTGCTAGCAATCAAATTGCTCCGTGATGTTTTATTCTGTGTAAGCAGGTGCTTTTATTCCGATACTTCGACTAAGTCCAGCATTACGAGATATAAGCATGCGAAAGCTAATTCTCTGACTTCCTCTCGTACGCAAAACCATGAAGCCATCGGTAAATACTGATACCCAAAAACCAGCTCATGTTTTCCTCTACAATTCCAAAGTTGATCAAAGAAATTCTCCATTTATTACCAAAGATCCGTTTTTGACCACGACTCGAAAAAGGGATTGAGAAACTCTGAAGGGGAGAAGGAAGAGACTGGTAAAAATGCTATGTCATCTACTAATGTTCCAAAAATTGAGACTAGCTCTTACACTCAACCAAATTCGAAGCTTGAGTAATTTGGTGAAGTAGCTTTCTCGGTTTCTCTTCAGTAATTCCCATAAAAGCTTCATAATTGTAGAATTAACATTGGTAGTCTCACAAGCCAGGAGGTATGGGAGAGAAAAAATGAAAAACCAAATCTTGAGAAGTGAAAAAGAGACGTTATCGAGACCGTAGAATAAAGCAAAGGTTTTTGGATCCCCCCCCCAAAAAAATATTATAGTGGACCAACACAACGATTGCGGCGAAGATCTAGTCTTTCATTTTGAAACACATCTATAATACCTGACCAAGTCCACTAAGAAAATCAAAAAGTTTTCGCCAATGAGTGAACAGAACTTCCCCCAATTTTTGACAGTGGAAGTGGTGACACATGGAATAGTTCTGACCTCCCAGATACTTCAAAAAGTTTTCAAGAGAAGACTTCAAAACCTCTTACCTTAGATCCGATTTGGTTACCACACTGGCCGGCTTGGATGTGTACGATCTCACGCATTTTGCAGTTCAACTGGTTTCAAGGCTATTGGTGACACTGAAAGAGGATTCAATAATCGTCGGCGAAATGAATGGGGCGTGTGGCACTAAGCTATGACCAATACACATGCGACGAAAGCGATGAAAAGACGGCGAGTGGACAAATCACGACTTGGCGGGAGAAGATTCCCGCACTTTTCGATCGACCGGCAATTTCGAATTAGCGCCGCAAGGGTACTATCTTGCGAGCGCGCTTGCGAAATTAATGGTGGGGCATCGAAAATGAATAAATGGATGAAGAAATGCCCTAAGCGGAGACAGAGTCGTCATTAAGAAAGATTATGGGGAAATGTGGTTTCCGAGACGAAAGGATGGATGGACGTTGGATGGGCAAAAGAGCGAAAGGCCGAAAAACTGCTCTTCAATAAGGCTTGGAAAGCAGATGATCTGCTAATTACACAAACCAATAAGCGCATCCATGGAAGAAAGCTTTTCGAAAACTTGCTTGGAAATACGATTATAGTCGGCGGATTTGGATGGAAGGATCTGCAATTGCACACTAATTATAGTCCTCAGCAGAAAAGGACGCATTTTGCTATCAATGAAGCGACTGGTGTTTTACTCATTTAGTGAAGGTAAGATATAGGTCATTTAGAAAATCGTATAACGAATTGAATGCGGTCTTTGGGCCCAAAAGAGCATAAAGCCCTCAAGCAGAAAGGCATCACTTCAATGCTCAGCTCGGTCACTTACAGTGTCTAATTGTTATCTACCATACGTAAGTAGAAAAAATACTTGATTAAAGATGAAAGCTTAAGTAATGCTGTTGTCAGAAGCGCGTGCGTGTCGCGCGCGGTGCCATCGTCACGATTTTCCGAATGCCCATAAATGACGTTGAAGATTATAATTTATCTGTTTTAATGCAATTTGAGCTTTAGCCTTACTGTAGCTGATCAATGCTCAAACTACTGGACCACCACTGGTCCACGGCATTTTTCGAAAGCTTTGTTTTGATATCCTTTTCCTTTAACACTGCGATGAGCCGCTTTCGAGAAACAACCTATAAGCCTTGATTTACTGGATCCGTATCAGGCAAAAAGTACTTGCAAAACTTGACTATCTACAAATCCGTGCTAAAAAAGTTATGAAAATCGCGCCGTTGAGCATGGGACGAGTTTACAAAACTATTTTATCAAAGAGTGTCGAGAAGAAAAAAGATTACCAATATTTCATGACGAGCCCGATTTTCATTATAGAATTGAAAAATCGTGAACGCAAACAATGGATGCTTCAATATTGCAAAGTCTGTAAAATCAATGCCTTTGAAGGGATTTTAATGAGTTATAAGTTACAAGAATTCCAAAGAAAACTGCTATACTAAAGTTTTCGACTGCACAAGGGAAGAGTGAAAGGTAATGTAATTATTCTAGGCGGTACCAGGCTTGACTATTGTTGGTTACATTTTTGATGAACTTTCTTTCAAGTTATTTTTCTACTGTCGCTATTTCATATTCATTCCAGCCTGCAAAGAAATCTTGGAGATCTTACCACTATGCCTTGAATATCCCTATAGTACTTCCCTGAGCGTTTCCATAGTGATAAAGTACATTTTTGTTGCAGATAATGTCAGCTGTTCATTATTTCACATAAGCATTATAGCTGTAATCATAGTGCCTTGGTTGAGAAAAAAATGATGTTTGAGAGAATTATATTCGCTTATAATTCGCTATATATCTCAGTTTGATGTTAAAGTTTTCATCGGCGGAAAAAGACACTTTTTCAAGATTAAGAATTAAACAATTAGGGTTATTTTTCTTCGAAAAGCTAGATTCGCAAGAGTATATCGAACTTTGAGTAGATAAATTGCTTTATAATTCTATGATATGATAAAAAAAATGATGATTAGAAATAAGAATGTTTGCTTTGTCAAACCCAAGAATGAGCGCTCTCAACTCCCATATGGGACATAATATTTTTCTATGTTGTTATGCGATTTTTTGAAGATAAGATGAGAAGCTTCCAAAGTGATGAAAGTCGATCACCAAAAAACGCAAATAAGCTAGAGGCGAGCACCGAGAATCGCACAGAATGAGCTCTATTTAGAAGAATAATCATTCAGAATAGCAATAGCGATAACCTCTAGCCACGTCGCTAATTATCATTTATGGTTTTTGATCGTAGTAGTTTCAAGTGTTATATCCTTTTCCCTATTTCCGTCCTTCTATTAGGTTGTCCGGAAATTAATGCCCGTTTTGAATTTCAACCGCAATAAGTCATACACTCTTCATTTCTAGATATATTGCAAAGTACCATTCGATAGAGCAAAGCAAGCTCTACAAGATGGCCATCTTGCTTTTGCAATAGCTCTCATCCATCTCGAGTTTCGAGCCAAAAACTAAAAAGACTCAGCAGCCCGAAAAATCGAAAAAAATCGTAACTCAGTTCATAAAAAACCTACAAAAATTCAAACTTGTTCACGCAAACACTATCCACATAAGACATCAATATACGCCGTTGCCGTATTTTTTTCTCTGTTAGAAACCAAGAAAACGGAAATTTTCATGCATTTGCCAAAGTGATGCTGTGCCGTCCCCACATAGGTAATTGTATACCACAAGCCTGTGGAAGTACAGACTTAAATTTTCAGCTCTCTACAAGCTTTAGTTCTCGAAAAATTTGAATAGCTTGGACCACCTAACTAGGGAAAGCTATATTCGGTAATTCTCGAGAACTAAAGCTTGTACAGAGCTGGAAATTTGAGTCTGTACTTCTACAGGCTTGTGGTATACAACTACCTATGTGGGGACGGCACAGCATCACTTTGGCAAATGCATGAAAATTTCCGTTTTCTTGGTTTCTAACAGAGAAAAAAATACGGCAACGGCGTATATTGATGTTTTATATGGATAGTGTTTGTGTGAACAAGTTAGAATTTTTGTAGGTTTTTTTATGAACTGAGTTACGATTTTTTTCGCTTTTTCGGATTGCTGAGTCTTTTTAGTTTTCGGCTCGAAACTCGAGATGGTCTAGAGCTGTTGCAAAAGCAAGATAGCCATCTTATAGAGCTTGCTTTGCTCTATCGAATGGTACTTTGCAACCTATTTAGTGGTGAGAAGTGTATGACTTAGTGCGGTTGAAATTTAAAACGGGCATTAATTTCCGGACAACCTAATATTAGGATGGCTATCTTGCTTTAGCAACAGCTCTGATCCACCACGAGTTTCGAGCCAAAAACTAAAAAGATTCAACTGCCCGAAAAATTGAGAAAAATCGTAACTCAGTTCATAAAAATCCTACAAAAATTCTAACTTGCTCACGTAAACACAATCCACATAAGGCATCTATATACGGGTTGTCGTATTTCTTCTTCTGCTAGAAATCAAGAAAACGGAGATTTTCGTGCATTTGCCAAAGTGATGCTGTGCCGTCCCCACATAGGTAGTTGTATACCACAAGCCCGTAGAAGTACAAACTTAAATTTCCAGCTCTCTAAAAGCTTTAGTTCTCGAGAAATATCGAATACAGTTTTCCCTAGTCATGTGATCCAAGCTAAAATTCAAATTTCTCGAGAGCTAAAGCTTGTAGAGAGCTGGAAATTTATGTTTGTATTTGTACAGGTTTGTAGTATACAACTACTTATGTGGGAACGGCACAGCACCACTTTGGCAAATGCACGAAAATTTCCGTTTTCTTGATTTCTAACAGAGAAAAAATCACGGCAACGGCGTATATAGATGCCTTATGTGGACTGTGTTTACGTAAGCAAGTTAGAATTTTTGTAGGATTTTTATGAACTGAGTTACGATTTTTCTCAATTTTTCGGGCAGTTGAATCTTTTTAGTTTTTGGCTCGAAACTCGTGGTGGATCAGAACTGTTGCTAAAGCAAGATCGCCACTGTAGAGCTTGCTTTGCCCTATCGAATGGTACCTTGCAACCTACTTAAAAATGAAAAGTATATGACTTATTGCGGTTGGAATTCAAAACCTGCATTAATTTCCGGACAACCTAATACCACGAATTTTTCATTTTCATTGTAGGAGGCTGCTATAAATGAGTGAAATATAGAATAGTAGCTTATGAAATTGAGCGTTACTGGAAACCAATAGATTCAATAATGAATGTCATACAATCAGTTCCTTCGACGCTGTTTTTTTTTTTTGAAGGTGTGTTGAGCAAAAATTTGAATATGAAGATAGTTAAATTTTTTGAGTACACTTCTTCGTGCGGTCATAATGCGTTGTCATACAATCCTTATCAGAATGAATTGCGGATCTACCAAAAAGAGACAGAACAAAAATACTGAGAGCAAATATTGCTGTTTTGGAAAATAGTTTCTTTCAAAATGCAATGTAATGTCTACATTGCTTCTTTTTGTCACGCGGGTATAAAATGAAGATAGACTATCGTTGCAGTCCTGCGAACCTTCGAATAGCTCTATTCAAAGTCTTGATAAATACTTATTTCAGCTACAAGAAACGAAACAACGGCTGCTACCTCTAGCCCTGACTCTAAAGCTGCAAACTTTGCTATGCAGAAACAATTTCTTGCATTTGTAACTTGAAATCGCAAAATAGAAAAGAAAAGCTGGAAAATTGTAAACTTTCAAAATCTATCCTTCAGCTCATTTTAGCGTGATCTAGATGATGAAATCGTTGCAGACAATTCTAGCTGCTCAGTATTTATATCAGTATGAAAGCTGAGTTATCAAACCGGATGAGATGATGTTCGAATGAGGTATATTCGCTTATAATTTGCTCTCTATTTCAATGTTGAAGCTCTTTAATGGCGTAAGAAAAAGATCCTTTCTTCAAGATTTTGAGCTTCACATTTCTGCGTAATACTTTTCGAAGATTAGCTGTTTACCACGCAGAAGATTTCGAGCTTGGAGTACGGAATAAGACAATGATTATAATTATGCTAGTAATCAAGATTAGGGATTTTACATATACAAAGTGATTCACTAATTTGCATCACATCAAAGTGGGTATCCAGTTGTTTATCGTTAGCTATTTTACTCTGTAGCTACTTGAATATCTGCCTATAACTGATGATCCATTGAATTATCTCTTCCCTGGATGTGAACTGCAGTAAAAACAGTACTAAAATGAGATATTTCTGATGAGAAGATCAA